GGGCGGCCGCCGGCACCTCCTCGGCTCAAACTCTGATGTAATGCCAAATGATGTATTTTCAGTGTTCATCTTTTTATTGTATTTTAACTTTTACTAAACGTATTTTAGTATTAAGTCCAGCTGTATTCGACTCTGATTATACTCGTATTGTAATAGTATACATAGAATATAGAGTCGCGCAGTGGTGCGCCGTCGAGTCACAAAGTAGGTAAATGTCGACGACCGGGGCTCCGGTCTCGGCGCGGCCTCTCCTCTGCTCAAGCCACTCCGTGGTATTTAGACAATTGCTTAGGTTTCAATGTGCCGTATGACAATTGGACGATTCGGTGTACGAGTAGAAACCGAAGAGTGAACCGGCAATCCAACATTAATACGGTCAAGCGGATCGCGCCATGGTGCAATGTCCTTCCTCCGTCGCGACACGTGGCCGCGTGTGCTGCGGGACCTGCTCGTACACGGATGACCTTCCCCAGCAGGGCGGGGCGGGGGCGGGGGCGGGCCGCGCAGTGCCACGCCCCCGCCCCCGCCCCGCCCTCGCGCCAACACTTAGCGAGTAAGTTATAAGCAACCTGCGGGACAACATTGTAAAATAAATATTATATTTGATTATCCAGAATATGTTTTTTTTTCATAACCTGTATATTCCAAAACAATTTTAACTGAACTAGATAGTGATTATTTCTGTTGTTTTCATACACAAGTAGTCTTCTTGTAGCTTAGTTAACGCCACAGGAGCAATAAAAATCAACAATATTTGTTTGTTTTTATTTAAACAAGTTGTGTCACTTTCAGTCGTCACAAGGTTCCTTAGTTCTAGAAGCACTCTGCTAACCCTACTTATGTTAACTTATGCTGCTGCTACATATAAATATAATACATTTTTACATACCGTACTAGGCAATACTGTCTTTGAAATATCCGACGTTCTTTTTACAATTAACTTAAATATCGTCCAGTCAAATTTTCTACGTCTACACTACATACAAACTCACTACCTATAACTACTTTTATAGTACAACAATGGAATAATTCATCCAGAATTAATTTGGTACAATGTTCCGAGATCGTGTTCGCTAGGTGCACGCCTGCTTATCGCGCCGTTGCGCCTCCAGCAGCAGCCGGTCCAGCTCGGCGCGGCACGAGCAGTGCAGGAACTCGCGCGGCCGCACGCCGCGGAACACCTCCGCTATGGAGGGCTTCACGTTGTAGAAGATGATGGTCTGCCCGCGCGCGTGGAAGTCCTCGATCAACGCCTTGATGCCCTGCACGCACGCAACACACGCAACTATTGTATATTGTGAGTGAATTTGACATCCGAGGCAAAGGCACAAAGTGTATCATATCTTTTCATTGCGTTTAATCGCCGTATAAGAAACGTTTCCCTAGTACAGTAGGAGTATGAGGCGATACATGTGAAAGCGGCAGATATAGTGCAGGACGCGGGCATTGGTAAGTGTAGGGGTGAGCGTACCCTGGCGGCGGTGAAGTCTGCGGCCTGCACGTGCGAGGCGTCGAGCACCAGCGGCGCGCGCGTGCTGTCGGCCGCCTTGCGCAGCGCGCGCCGCACGAACTCCGCCGAGGGGAACGCCAGCGCGCGGTCCACGGTCGCCACCACGTGCGGCACGCCGTCACTCGACTGACCGACAAATGACATGCTCGTTGATCTTACTCATTATAAAACAATTTTAATAAAACATATTCAATAAATGAACGGTATAAAATTCGGATACTTCAGGGCCGTAATCGCACAACGACTATAACTAACCAATAAGCCACAATTATTGACATCGATTTTGATATAAATGCACGTGTGGGGTATAGGGTGAGATGTGGGGGGTACGCACCAGGGCGCTGGAGATACGCACGGCGGGCCGCGCCGAGGCGTACAGCAGGAACAACAAGTTGACGGCGATGCCCACCACGATGCCCAGCTCTAAGCGCAGCAGCAAGCACGCCGCGAAAGTCACCACCGCGGGGATTATATCCACCTCTGCAACGGGGGCCATTTACACTGCTGCACTTTACACACACAATTATACCGAGTTCCTTCATACAACTGTAATGTGCTATTTATGATTATTTAAAATATTCTTGAGAAGATGTATGTACAAACTTTTGGTCCGCCAGATGGGCTTGAAGACGTGCAGCTCCATCATGAAGACGACGGCGGCGATGATGACGGCCGCCAATGACGCTTTCGGGATGTAGTAGAAGTACGGCGTGAAGTACTGCAACACAAACACTTTGCTTGGTGACATGCACCAGCGCGACGAAGTCACTCCCTGTGGCGGTGGCTAAGTTCACGGCGGCGTACCTGCAGCGCCAGCAGCACGAGGGCGCCGGTGTAGAGGCCGCCGGCGGGCGTGGCGACGCCGGACGCGTGGTTGACGGCGCCGCGGGACAGTGCGCCCGACACCGGCATGGAGTCCACCAGCGAGGCAGCCATGTTGCACACCCCCAGCGCTATCATCTCCTGCGTCGCGTCCACGTACTTGCCTTCCGCTGCAACGCGCACATCACGATGCATACGTTACTTTAAAATTTACCAAAGTTTTAAAAGGCGCAGAATATAAAAAAAATTACAGAAGACTTTAGCGAGAGCGATGTTCTCTAGTATGGATAGCAGCGGCACGACGAAAATGGCGGAGCCCAGCGTGGACGTCATCTCGACGAAGCTGTAGGTGTGGTTGCCCACCGTGGCCGACAGCGGCGGCGGCGCCAGGCGCGGCAGGCCCGCCCGCACCTCTCCTGCGGCACACCACTATTCATTACACTGATACCTATATTTATGCCAATTTAATATTTACATTACATGTCTCCACCACACATCACACACTACATGTCCCCACTGAGGGGCTCGGAGCATACCTTAAGTAAGGGGGTTACTATGTCATAGTCAACCGCACTGACCCACTGCGGTGATTGTTTGGACACTTCATGTCGTACAAACACTTCTTATTACAAACAAAAAATACAAGAAGGCAATGTTGTCATGTAGGCATTTATCAAAATGGCTTTCATGTGCTACGACAGCTGAGACTATACCGGTTAGCACGAACGGCGTCTGGTTCTTGGTGTCGAAGTAGTACGCTAGGCCGGCGCACACGAGCACCACCAGGATGTTCCTGGTGGTGGAGAGGAACCACAGTGCCTGCGCCAGCGCAGCGCGCCCGCGCCCCCCGCCGCCCTTCTCACTCGCCCCCACATTGATGTCTTTCACTTTCTGAAAATATAAACAATGTTAGTTGGACAACTTGTTTTACTTTAAAAAATGTTGGTACTTGGGATTTGAATTCAGTAGACTGCATCTGGACATCGGACGATTATGTGAGTGGTGAGGAGTGATAAGTGGGGAGAAGGGGGAACAGCGCGGAATGCGCACTAACCCGCAGCAGCAGCAGCAGCAGGATGCAGCCGAGGCCGAGTGCGGCGTCCCACAGGCGGGTCTCGCCGATGTGCTCGTACAGCCCCGCCCACACCTACCAACAACACCTCGCTCAATACAAACATACTACATGCACAGAGCATTTCGTTCAGTGGGTTCAGTTTCAGTCGTTCAGTGTTCCCGCCGCTTGTTTGCCACTTTTCTTATATAAAAGAACAATACATGGATATATCCTTAAAACTTGCTCTCTTACGTATTAAATGTTGTTGTTGAATTTGGTCATGCATAGAACCAAATTACTTGGCAATTATTTGCGGCAAAAATTAAGCGGCTCAGGTATATGCTACTCGCCGCCCGCTGCGAGACATTTCTCAAAGGTCGAAAAGATCGTAGTTATAGCAAACGTAAACAATACGCAAAAAATCATACTTATTAACATTAGTCACTATTAGCAAAAAACGAGGCCCGGTTCGGTGCAAAAAGTTTTATCGTGTAATTGTTGCGTCGCGCTCAAGTTGACAGAATCACGTGTAACTTGCAGTGTGAGTATAGCACGAGTGCGGTGTGAGTGCAGTGTAGTCACCTGCAGGAACTTGCCGCCGGGAAAGCTGAGGCCAAGGATGTCCTTGACCTGCGTGGTGGCGATGATAATGGCCGCGGCCGAGGTGAAGCCGACCGACACCGGCCCGCTGATGAAGTCGATCAGGAACCCTGCCGACACATACAATCATCATCATAACCGAATAATGCGGTATGATATTCCTCTGCGGCGGGATGGCGTGGCGTGGGGGGAGGTCAAGGTCGCTGCTCGTGATCACCACTCAGGGAAGTGTAATTAAATGCATTAGCTGTTATTAAAGCAAGAGTAATGAGGCCCCGGAGGACGCGCCGACAGCCTTCACCGCTCCCACTGCGGCGTGCGGCCTCGACTATTCGATTGTCATCTTACAATTATATTTAACTAGTGTGTAATTGGCATTTGTGAGACAATAGAGATTGCGACAAAAAATAATACAGCTGAAATTCAAATCTTTAGTCAAAATCAAGCCTTTTGTGTTACAATTAAATTCGCGTCAGGTCCCAGCATGAAAGCGGCTCACCAACGTTTGGCTTACGCCCGACAGCCTAAGCTTGAGTTCATTACTGAACCTCTTGGGAGGATATCCTTATTTCATCAAACTAGTCTAAAAGAAATCAAAAACAGGAGCGCAACGATGAGGAGTTTGCAAGAAATATAGTGGTAGTAAACGACCGCAGGAGACATCAATGTCTCAAAACTGTTTAAACTAATAGTGTAATAAAGCGAACTGAATGTTATTTGTTAGCGGTAACATTAACTGCGGTATTCATTTTATTCTTTAATTACATTTTAATGAGACGATAATAGGACAGAAGCAGAAGGCACACTGCGCTGCGTTACAAACAATGACATTTCTTTAGTTATTTTTTTTCTACAGGTGAAATGCAATTAGTGAGATAATTTTATGCAACTTGTTTCCATTATACGGAGAATTAATTACAATGTTGTTATTAAATAAAGTTATTGATATAATAGCCGTTTTAAATTATGGACTATAAACAACTACCTAGTTAATTACGTACGGTATTAAACACGATTGTATAAAAATGTTGTGAACATACAATTGCCTGTTTCCACTGTGTCAACATCTTTCTGAAAATATTCGCTATCTCTATTTCTTAAAGCGGAATAAAAAGAGAGGTTATATTATAGCTAGGTGTGAGTGCAGCTGCGTGCTGCGATGCAACCCCGCACTGCACTGCAAGTGACACCTTTCTCACCCGCTCACTAGGTCAAGGCGATTTCTTTGCTCTCTAATCGAATAATTAAACAATTAATTAGCACTTAATGTTTGCCTTTCGCTAATTAATGTGTTGTAGTTAATTAAAGACAATGTTAACTAATTCACAGGTTAAAAGAGTTTAAAGAGATTAGAAGGTTGGTGACCATCGAAAGTCAACCACGACCTTTATATTACTGAGTGTTATACATGACTTCTGGCGGCGTATCTTGATGTTAGTCGTAGATGTTGATGAAGAGAATATGACTAGGTAATTAAACGAAACGAAGTATCTATTTGGGTTAGATGTTGTTAACATTTAGATAGCGATAAAACAGGTAGAACGTGTTACCTAGTTGCAGCAGACCCATGAGCAGCTCAACACAGCCGGAAAGAAAGGCGAGCAGCACGGCGAACTCGGGCCCGAGGCCGTGCAGGTTTTCTCGAGTGAGGATGGCGGCGATGGCGGTCGGCCCCACCGCGGAGTCCTTCACCGAGCCCAGCGCCGTGTACACGAAGCACGCCATGAAGGAGGAGTAGAGGCCGTACTGCGGCGGCAGGCCCGCCACGCCCGCGTACGCGATCGCCTGCGGGATCACCGTCAGCCCCACCGTCACGCCTGTCGGCACAAAGCGCACCTTACTACAAATATTACACTATTGTGATAACGCGTATTATTGACATTCTTACGTGCGACGAAACACGCCTGTGTCAAGTCACACGGCGCAGTCGACGTGCGACTTCATACAATACAAGAATGGTTACTCACATCATTCTTTTACATCACTCTAAGCTTTACATTTTTTTTTTTAATTTCAGTACTTAACAAAAATTGAGTAAGAGCAGATATTGTACAAAGAGTAATAAATCAGCTCAGTGGCACAGAAGTGTGGGCTTCGACTGGTTGTGACAGTAGACAGGCAGCCGTCTGCGTCGCCAGTGCATCTAAACAACGTCAATTTCACGCTCTGATGACTCTCAGTCGGAATAGAAAACGTAGTTTGTCTTTAAAGACATAGAGGTCAAAGCCACTTGTCTTGCGGTAGAGCTACCGTAATGAGTGGTGCGCAGGAGAATTTAGCTGAGGTAAATTGCAGAGTCAGTGAACTGCGGTTCACGGTATGTGACCTGAGTGATGTCATTTGTATGTGTGTAATCTTCAAAACAGGCAACTGAGTGGGTCTCTGTGATTTCGTCCTTAGACAGTTTCATAATGCAAGCGCACCTGCAATGAGGTCTGCGAGGCCGCTCCTGAAGTTATATGTGGGCAGCCAGGCGAGGATAGGCAGTCGGCGCAGTAGCATCTTAGCGGAACAGCAGGCCCGCGCGCGCCGCACCGCCGCACCACGCCAGCCGCGCCAGCCGCGCCGCGCCGGACCCGCACCACCCAGCGCGTATCCACTGCCATCTGCACACACAAAGCATTCATATATAGTCATTTTATTAAGAATTGTTTAAACTCTAAACACAGTTTTATAACAATACCAGAATAAGAAAGCGTAAAATAGTTAGTTATGTTTTATAGTAATAAATGGATACTAGTCTAAAAGAAGTCAACCTCGTCATATCCGCCAGCCTAAAACATACATAATGTTAACAAGATATAATAGTGCAATCATCGTAGCCATCGACCGTGACTGACATCAAAACTTAACATTTTTTACGTTAGAATAATATATAATTGAAACTTTTTACAAATAACGGTGTCGTCATCGGCTCTTGCCATAACACTAACTATTTATTAACTCCAACTCAAAATGTACCGTCTAAACTGGTCAGTGATCAATTGTTAACTTTTGGAATCAATAGTAAGTTCTCTGTCGTATTCAAATAAAACGTAATAAACATTTGCGGCGGCTGCGCCAATCGCTTGTCGCAAGCCGCTGGTGCGGCGCGGTGTCTCCACATGCTTCAATACTGATATATACATAAATTGTTACACACAGGATAAAAGTTTCCACTTAATTAGTTACTTTTATAAATTACCTAATATCTGGTTTGTAACAGTTATTAATTAAATAACTTCCTCGCAGCAATGCAGCTTTAGTATTATTGGTAATCCTATTACTATCCTAGGGCTAATAACAAGTGTAGCAACTCCACGTAGAGTGGAATAGGGAGAAAGAACGATGTCCTGTCTTCGTACAGTTAAAAATGAAATTACAATTTAAATTCATCTAAAACCCAAACGCTGTTATTTTTCCCAGTACAGTTTTTATAATGCTTTCTCTCTCTCTGGCTTTCGGGTTTACCAACTCATGTCAGAGGCCGCCGCCAGTAATCACGATACAAGTCATATATTAAACGGTTCTGTGATAATCTAACTGGCTTCAAATATTTTATTACACCGGTGTGGGGAGCACCTTTATATTCACACTTTAAAAAGTTTTAAGCGATTTGTGACTTAATCCAGTTGTATATAAAACTTCTATGTAATTATATTTGCACCGTATGAACCTAACAATGCACAAATTACAGCTATGTAATCAACATTTATGTCATTATCTATTAACAAAAGTAATAAAAAATTAACAGAGCTCTCTCAATGTTAACGACTAAGTAATTTAGCGCGCAACAATACGAGTAAAACATAATTAAGTTGTAATAGAAGTTGAGTTATGAGTTGTTAAGTAAAGCGTAACCCATTTAATGACAAGTTTTCCTAGCTTATTGCCAACAAAGAACCCAGTACTGAGCGCTATCGTAGTATATATTCAACACAGTGCATTAATCCGCCACTGTTCCTGGGCACACAATATAAGGTTTGATTCTCAATTGTTGACAGGAGACAGCTTTCCATCGGGAAATTATAATGTTCAGGAACACGATACGATTATAAAGGAACATACTAATATGACATTATCAATTATTGTATAACCTCTGTGGTATTGCTGGAGCATAACTTGGTAGTTAGTTAAAACAACGACCACTAAGTTAGTACCAAATGTCACACTGTCACACATCCACAATGTCATATAAATAAGGAAGCGTTTTCTCAGCTCAAGGTTAATACAGTTGTTGTTTACGTACTTTTTTGTATGTAAATAAAACTCGGTAACGCTGAAAGTAGAATCACAGCACGTGCGCGGCATGCCAGTGCCGGCTTTCTATAGCCAATTAGCCGGCGGCAGTCCGCTAGCCGCTCATCAATATTCATGGGGAAAGCTCAGTAAACATCAACATAATCATCTAACCATTGCTAACGCATATTATTGCCAAAATACTATTATCCTCGAGGTTGACCAAAATTTATTTCACTTTGAAACAGCGCACAAAAATAGGTTCGTGCATCTCAATCAATAAATGATATGTTAAATTTTAACCAAGTGAATTGATTATGTTCTGAGATGATGTTTAACAAACTTTCGTTTTCGAGAAATTGTTTACGAGGCATTTTCGATGATAATAAAATGTGAAAATGTGTCAATAATTTATACTAACACTTGTAAGATAACATTAAACAGAATGCGAGGAATGTCAACTGGCGTGGGCATTGTACACACTCGGTGGGTGTACACACTCCAAGACAGATGGTAACCCTCTCATTTGTGTACATACTCGTAGATACACCGCGGGAATATGACCTAGTACTTTATCGAGTATTTGTTAATATCACAACGTGATCGTAAAAAGAGTTCTGAGGTCTTCTGATAGATTTCTTTAAAAATTAATTCTTTAATTATTTTAAAAATTAAACGCCTGCAAATGGTAACAATAAGTTTATGGGTTGGTGTTAACAATGTCGGTGCCATATTCCTTAGCCAGGGCCGAGGGTGGTAGATAGCTAGCGAGTGCTCGGTGTTGCACATTTGGATTTTGGAACAAACCAGCTTTTAATTGTCGATTATTCGATATATGTAAAGGCTTTGTTGTGAATGTAACAGAAACGACGGACATACAACACGACCATTGTACATACAAACATGCATGTATTGTGACACGCTAAGGTTTTGTGTCGTATTATGGTCTGTTGTCATCGCAATGCTGTCACCTTTGTGCCAGCTGTGAGGCCGCTGTCGCTTTGTGCTGTTTCTGTAGCAACGCTAGACTAGTGTCGACTTTGTATTTTAAGATCTCTACTTAAAGGCGTTCAAATTCCAGTCGTTATGGCCCAATGTGCTTTATATTGAATAGTCTTATTATAACTCTAGTATTATTTGTCATTTAAAATTATAGGAGACAATATCATGTACATGAAACGTGTTCAAGTAATATAATCGTAATGAAGTATTCGATGCAGTCAACAGACGGAGAGGTCTCCGCCGCACTACCACGAACTGCATATTGTAGCGTTCTACGGCGAACTCTGCAAAACAATTGGCCAGCTCGCAACGCAACGCTCGAACATTCAAACTTCCCATTTTATATACAGTTTGGTTAGCAGTGTGTGATACTTGCAAAAAACCTAAGACTCCTACGTGACAAGTCTTCATTTCAATTAAGTATTAAAATATATACCTACCAATATCACTATCGCTGTTTTTTTTTTAATTTATACATACAATGAAACTAGAAACTGGTTTACGTTATCAATAGTAAATTGTCCTTGAGGTAATGTTTTTGTTACGTTTTGCGAGATGGCTGAATGTAGAGCGGGCATCAGGAAGCGCCTTGAGTGTGACGGCGGGCAGCCAGCGGCGGAGTGGTGCGGCTTTACTCTCTCTAAGTAAGCAAATATGAGCTGCTGCACCTCATTATTCAAGGGGAGATTCAAGGAAAACGAATTGTAGGACGAAGGAAGAAATCCTTGCTAAAAAAAATTACACCAGCGTTTCAGAAAGAGCTCCCATTCGCTACTCAGAGCCAGGTAGCCGTGATGACCGCCGGACCTTCAAAGGAAGATGGCACTTTAAGAAGAAAGTTACGTCAAAAGTGTCCGCCAAACAGTATAATATACAAGTGTCGCGTGTAGTCTCAAGAACTGGTGCGATGCGCTCTCCTATGACGCTGCAGGGAACTAGAGCTGACCCCGGTTGCAGGACGGACATTTGTCACAATTGCAGTGCCCTCGCCACACCTGTCACCTGTCACTTGTCACCTGCACGCTCCGGCCGATTATAAATAGAACCCGCCGAGTGAGAGCATTTCCGCATCGCTGGGGATCGTGGGAACTGAACTTGGGGATAATCCGCAAGTAACGTAAGACGAAGTATTGTGTCAATGTAGTCTTCAAATGTGTATGTAGCCTCCACCGCTACTGTACTTTTGTACTTATTTGACATGTGAATATTTTTTCAATTACCATCTCAGGTTAACTGACATTTAGGAAGATGTGAATTAGCTTTTATTAACTGTGTGAGGTGCGATGAACTTTGGCACAATTTGTGACTCATGTAACGTAAATAAGCTAAAGTTCAACAGTCAGAGAATGTGCGAGGCTTGTGTAAGTCATTTTGTAAGACACGCGCTAAACGACACGAGACCTCAGAGAGCACAATGTTGGCAAACTTGTTTATGTACAATAATTGTTCATTTTAATTTACTATGGGTTTACGATATTTATAAACAAAATAAATATGATTTTCCTTTCCGACTTTTAGTTTTCTCCGTTTTGTTTATTTTTATTATACTCAGATTTTAGCATTACAATGTGTCGTTATCCTGTTAAAGGAACTTTCACAAACAAATTACAACGTAGTCATACAGATAAACGAGAGCCAGAAGACGCACTTCAATGGCTACCTTGAACAATTAGTCCAACACAAAAACAACACAATTAACTTGTAAAACTCACCCAGGAAATAAGTAGTTGTTAACAAAAACACACGCTGCGAGGCTTAGACAATACGATACGACAGCGGGTCACAGTCACAATCAACGATTCGTATTACTTCAACTAGTTTTTGCGAAGTTAAATGCAAATATTTTAGATTTTATTGAACGCCAATACGTGTCTGTGTATTGAAATGGCATAATGAGTTCGCTGTAGTGCGCTTAGAATATCATCATGTTCATTTCCAAACAAGTTTTTTTTAACTTAATGTTGGAACATTTTAAACTTTGTTCTTATTCTAATACATTAATAGGTATAACTGTTATTAATAGGTTAACGGATGATGTCCCCTAGTTATGATGCCACAAAGTTGGCAGCTGATCCGGCCGAGGTTACGAGAGCGTATGTTTTCAGAGTGAAAGGGATCGATGTATTACCAGTGCAGGCTTTCGTCCGGTACAGACATCGAACATGAGTGTACATTTTTTGTAGTAACAATAATGACATTGTATTGATTGTCTCGGTGAGCAGAGAGCGTGAGCCGGACTTGACAAACTGTAGTGGCTGCAAGCTGACCTACAGTCCTACTTTAATACAATTATCCTCTTGAATTGATCAGGAATTATAATCGCAGATGAAGTAGCGGCGGCGAGCTGCAGGCGACCACTCCGCACAAGGTCAACATTGTATTCGCA